ACAACAAATCACAGTAGTAAGAGCAGTTCTGGCCAAATATGTTGGAATTACGCCTGTAATTCCAACACATTGGGAGGCCGAGGTGGGCAGATCACTTCAGGTCAGGAGTTCAAGACCAGCCTGGTCAACATGACGAAACCTTGTCTCTACTAAAACTACAAACTTAGCCTGACATGGTGGTGAACATCTGTAATCCCAGCTACTGGGGTGGGTGAGGCATGAGAATTGCTTGAACTCGGGAGGTGAAAGTTGCAGTGAGCCGAGATTATGCCACTGTACTCCATCTTGTGTGACACAGTGAGACACTGTCTCAAAAAAAAAAAAAAAAAAAAAAACAGAAAATCATGGTAGTAAGAGCAGTTCTGATGACTCTGTCACCAGGAAAAGTCAGATACTTTCATACCACAGATACTTTCATACCACAGTGTAGCTTTTGAAAATACTACAAAATACCATTTACATGGGCATCACTACTTTGAAATTACAGAAGTTATTTGCTACTGCACTGAATTTGTTTTTACTTTTTAATAAAAGTACTTACTGTATTAATAAAGAAGTACATATACTCATAAATTTGGAGCTTTTTTTAGTTTTTTCACTTTATTTTTTTTTTAAGAAACAGGGTCTCACTCTGTCATGCCGGCTAGAGTGCAGTGGCCTGATGATAGTTCACTGCAGCCTTGACCTCCTGGGCTCAAATGATCCTTCCTCCTCAGCCCCCCAAGTTATTGGGACTACAAGTGATGCTAGCACTGGGGAGTGGCTGCAAATACAGATTAGCATTAACAGAGAGGTTTGACTACACAGAGACCATAATAAATCAATTGCTTGCAGACTCAAATCAAAATCCTATCAGTGAGCGTCAAGCAACAAGCTGCATCTGGTGGCAGGCTTTATAATGGCAAGTAAGTTGATGTACTTCCACTGTACAACCGCATCCGTGGGCAGGCTTTAATCAGAATCTGACACGTATTTTAGTCCACTCGTGGCCCGCCCATTATTTTATTTACCACTTCCAGCTGTGCCTGTTTCCTACGCTGCACATTTGTCTCAGTCACAGTTTTGGTAAGCCCACAAGTTAACCCTAGCCGAAATGAGTAAAAAACAAACATCACTGGTAAGCTTCTTTGAAAAGGGGGAAAGACCCAATGATGAGACAGAAGACGCTAAGACTGCCAACGAAAAGAAAGCTGCAATTAAAAGAAAATACCAGGAGTCAAACTCAAATTACAGGTTCATTGCAACAGGTGATTCACATTCTCCAAACCCACTTTGTATAACATGCGGCTACTGGCTATCCAATGAAGCCATGAAACCTTCAAAACTGCTTCACCACATAGAGACCAAGCACCATGCATTAAAAGACAAACCTTTGGAGTGTTTCAAAAGAAAAAACATAAGCACAAAGAACAGAAGCAATTATTGAAGGCTACCATTTCATCAAATGTGTCTGCAATGAGAGCATCATTCTTAGTGGCTAACCATATTGCTAAAGCTAAGAAGCCCTTTACTATTGGTGAAGAGTTGGTCCTGCCTACTTTTAAGGACATTTGTTCTGAACTTTTAGGAGAGGCTGCAGTTCAAAAGGTGGCATGTGTTCTTCTCTAGCAGCATAACTAGGCGAATTGAAATAGCAGAGGATATTAAGGCACAATTGTTAGAGAGGATTAATGAGTCACTGCAGAATGCAATCCAGATTGACTAGTCTACCAATGCTGACAAGGCAACAATGCTTGTTTTTGTGTGATATGATTTTCAGGAGGATATGCATGAGGATGTTAGCTGCACGAGGATGTGTCACTTGCGCTTTTGTTGCTAACCAACACCACAGCTGTAGAATTATTCAAGTCTTTGAATGATTACCTACCAGGAAAACTGAATTGGTCATTTCGTGCATGAGCAGAGCGACTGCTACGGCTGGTTTCACTACTAGGGTCAAAGAGGTCACTTCTGAATGTGAGTCTATGCACTGTTACATTCATAGAGAAGTGTTGGCTAGCCGAAAAATGTCACCTGAACTTAACAACGTTTTGCAGGATATGATTAAAATTATCAACCACATTAAAGTACGTGCCCTTAACTCACATCTGTTCACGCAGCTTTGTGAGATGGACGTAGGGCACACACATCTTTTATACACAGAAGTGGGATGGCTTTCTAAAGATAGATCACTGGCCAGAGTTTGAGTTATGAGGGCCACTCCAGGGATTTCTTTGAGAAAAACAGTCACCACTGGCAGCACATTTCACAGAAGGGGTAGCAAAACTTGCTTACTTGCTTACCTACTCAACGAACTCAATCTGTCCCCTCAGGGGAGAACTGTGTTCAAGTCAACAGATAAGTGGCTGCACTCAAAACCAAACTGGAATTATTGGGGCGACAAGTGAACACGGATTTCTGACATGTTTCAAACATTAGCAGAGATTTTGAAAGAGACTAAGTCAGGGCCTTCTCTCTCCCAGCTGGTGCATGATCACCTATCTCAGCTTTCAAGAGTTTGAGCATTACTTCCCAACTACAAGAGACCCACGAACTGGGAAGGATCCTACACCCATTCGTGAATAAGCCAGGTGAATTGACTTTGTCCATGCCAGAAGAGGACCAGCTGCTTGAGATGGCAAATGATGGGGCCCTAGAAGTACGTTTGGGACAACTTCACATCTCCATACATTCTGGATTAAAGTCAAGGCAAAACATCCTGAGATTGCCACAAAAGCACCAAAAAGCCTGCTTCCATTGCCAACATCCTATCTTTGTGAAGCAGGGTCTTCAGCAGTGACAGCAACCAAAATGAGACTATGGAGTAGACTGGACATAAGCAAACAGACTTTGGGTGTCAATGTCTACCAACACCATCAGATGGGACCGCCTAGTTGCAGGAAAACAAGCTCAGGGGTCCCACTGATTCTACTCTATGGTGAGCTGTATTCATTGTATATTACAATGTAATAATAGAAATAAAGTCCACAATAAATGTAATGCGGGGGGGCATGGTGATTCACACCTGTAATCCCAGCACTATGGGAGGCCAAGGAGAGGATGGCTTGAGTTCAGGAGTTCGAGTTCAGGAATTTGAGACCAGCCTGGTTGTCGTGGTGAAATCCTGTCTCTATTAAAAATGCAAAAATTAGCCGGGTGTGGTGTCGCACGCCTGTAAGCTACTCTGCAGGCTGAGGCACGAGAATTGCTTGATCCCCAGAGGTGGAGGTTGCAGTGAGCCGGTCTTGTGCCACTGCACTCCAGCCTGGGTGACCCAGCAAGACTATCTCAAAACAAATGAACAAAATAAATGTAACGCGCTTGAATTATCCCAGACCATCCCCACTCCCCCGGTCCATGAAAAAATTATTTTCCATGAAACCGGTCCTTGGTGCCAGAAAGATTGGGACCACTACTTTAGGGAACACTTCCCCCTGGGCCAGGTCCATCTGGAAGCTGGGGGTGCAGTTAAGGCCCATGCTCGCAAATTCGTGATGCTACCTACAGAGCTCCCAACATCTGGCCACCCACAAAAATGGCTGCTCCCTCCAGAGACTTGACTTTCACCCTAAGTTCATCCGTCTAACCTACTCCCAAGGAGGGGACAAAGTAAACAGTAAAGCACAGGCGTTGATCCAAAAGAGGAGTCCAAAACCCAGCCCTGACATGTACTAGTCTGCGGCTTTGGCTCCCCTCCAAGGCTTTCTCTATCCTACTGTGAAAAGCTATAACACCACCTATCTTTCCCAGTTACTGTAAGGTTTAGAAACAATGTATCTAAAGCACCTAACAAGCACATAGTCTCCTTAAATTAACATTAATTGAATCTCTCAGGTCAGAGCTGTCCTTATCAAACACTTAATCACAATTAAGGACTGACTGGCAACCAGAAAGGAGGGAGAAAAATCACAGGGAAAATGGAACATGACGAATGGAAGGGGGAAAAAAATCATTCCTCAAAGTCTCCTTCAATGAACTACCACTTCTTCAATGAAGCCTTCCCTCTCTTCTCCTTGCGTTCCCATAGCACTTAATCACATTGAAATCGGTCCTTAGCTCTGAGAATGAATGAGATGCCAGGCGCGGTGGCTCACGCCTGTAATCCCAGCACTTTGGGAGGCCGAGGGGGGCAGATCACCTGAGGACAACAGTTCGAGACCAGCCTAGCCAACATGTGAGACCCCCGTCGCTACTAAAAATACAAAATTAGCTGGGCTTGGTGGCGCATGCCTGTAATCCCAACTACTCAGGAGGCAAGGCTGGAGAATCGCTCGAAACCGGGATGCGAAGGTTGCAGTGAGCTTAGATTGTGCCATTGCACTCCAGCCTGGGCGACAAGAGCCAAACTCCGTCTCAAAAACACAAACAACAACAAAAACAGAAAGAGACAGAGAAGCAATGTCTCACTCCCACATAATGCAAGCCTCCGAGGATGCCAAATGCCCTAGCTCTACAACCCTGATCCAAGAGCAACGAACACAGGTAGCAACACATTTTTTAACACAATGCTACCCGTAAAGCACCTCTGGTGAGGATTGGGGGGAGGGGTTTTCCGCATAAAGACCTGTCACCTGAAGGTTAGAACAGAGGAAGGAAACTGAGTCCTAAAGACAGAACGCAAAGGAAGTCTCTAACTTTAGAGTCCCTGGAGTCACAGCAGGCAGGCAGGCAGGCGCACCGCTGGTACTGCCAGGGGACCAGAGTTCGCAACTCCCCGCAGCAGTGCCGGAAGCTGGGGACGAAGCCAAGAAGAGAGGACGCCAGCTGGGCCGTGCGCGGACATGTCCCGGCGCCCAGATCCCCGCCTTTTCCCGGGCGCACTGAGCGCGCGGCCCCCGCCGCTTTTGTCTCCTTCGCCCAGCCGGGAACTTCCTCTGTCCCGCCCTCTGGCGCGCACACGGGAACTGGGGTAGGAAACGGAAAGCGTTTTGTGCGTTTTTTTTTTTTTTAACGAAGTAAACTGACGCAGAAAATTCAGCATCTAACCTCCCCAGGACCCCCTACGGTCACCAGTTACCAACCTCCGGGCTGTCCCGGGCGGCGGCGACGGCAACGTTCACGCGAGCCGCGAGTTCCCAACACCCCTCTTTCGGCACTTCCGAGTCCCAGCGACATCGGCGGCGGCTGCGGGCTTCCCCGGGACGCCACCCTCTTTCCCCCGGAGCTGCCCTTTGGAGGAGTAGTCCAGCGCGCGTCCTCCGAGCACGCCCCTGCCGCCGTGCCCGCGCGCCCTCCGCGCCCGGCCTCGGGAACCCGCGGCGCTCCCGGGGCGGTGGCGAGCAGGCCGTGCTGCTGCAGGGGGACTGGCCACAGAGCGGCCTGCCTCTCCGAACCGCGTTTGCCCCGCCGGCGGCCCGGGACCCCTAGCCCCGCTCACCCCTCGGCTGCTGGTTTCCACTGACCCTGGCGTGTATATCTCTCCCCCCACCTGTATGTTCATTGCAGGTGTGGCGCTGCCTGCAAGTTAATTGCAGAGTGGAAGTCACCTGAAACTCGAGGTGGGCCTTCATTCCAACACCAGTGGTCCCCACCTACGTTTTGTAGGCGAAAGGAAGGTAGTTCGGTGCGGTGGAAAGAGGGCGGGCTTTGCAGCCCTGGCAGTTTCGAGGGCTTGCTGTGTGAACTTAGCCCCTGTGAGCCTCCCTGTCCACCTCTGTAAAACAGAAATAAACTTCCCTGCTTTTCCTTGTAAATTAGAGTGAAGATCAAACAGAATAAACTTTATGAATTGTAAAACAACTTACAGAGATCACTACTGCAAAATGGGTACGAAGATTTTGATTGCGTTGTGAAAAGAGTGAAAGATCTGAAGATGCCCCAACGGGGTGTAATTGGCACGATGTTGCTGCTCGGAGGCCTCCAAACCTGAGCCAACAGACAGGCTTGCCAGAGTTCTACAGACTTATTGCAGCATAATCACCTGGCTCTCCTTAAAACCTCGGGCTTCTGGATCCCTCCCCAAACCAAATGAATCAGACTGCCCATGGCAGGGGCGGCTCAGGTGGTTCTATGATAAGGTAAAAGTGGATAACTCTGCCCTAGGCAGCAGGGAAATGCGGAAGCTGTGCTCTCAGAAATTTCATCTAGCAGTCATTGTAATGGTCGAGAGGATTATTTTAACGATTGTAGAATTCTCCAGGAAACCAGAGTATGAACTCTCCAAGAGCTGGAGCCATCTTTTCTTTCTGCTTTCTCCCAACCCACCCACCCCAAAATCTAGTACAGGATGGTGTTCAGTAAGCAGGTGTTAGTAAACTAGCCCCAAATAGGAGTGCCAGATTTAACAAATAAAAATACAGCATACTCAATTAAAATTGAATTTCAGGCTGGGCACGGTGGCCCACGCCTGTAATCTCAGCACTTTGGGAGCCATAGCAGGAGGGTCGCTTGAGGCCAGGAGTTTGAGACCAGCCTGGCCAACATGGTGAAACCCCCTCTCTACTAAAAATACAAAAATTAGCCGGGTGTGGTGGCCTGTGCCTGTAATCCCAGTCACTTGGGAGGCTGAGGCATGAGAATCGCTTGAACCTGGGAGACAGAGGTTGCAGTGAGCTCGGATAGCACCACTGCACTCCAACCTGGGTGACTGAGCCGGACTCTGTCTCAAAAAATAAGTACATAATTTCAGGTGAACAATATGTAACTTTTTAGTATCACTATGACCCATGCAATATTTGGATATACTTGTGTTTAAAAAAAGAAAAAAAGTACTTACAGGAAGCTTGTAATCCCAGCACTTTGGGAGGCCAAAGTGAGCAGATAACTTGAATCCAGGAGTTTGAAACCAGCCTGGCGAACATGATGAAACTCCATCTCTACCAAAAAAAAAAAAAAAAAGTTTATCTGAAATTCAAATTTACATCCTAGGTATCTGAAAATCAAATTTAACTGGGTATTTTATCTGGCAACTCTAGATCCAAGGGTTTGGCAGAGGGAGTGGTGGAATAAGAACTCAACTCAGGTACTGTCAGACTTAGAGACAGGGATGTGATAACAGCTCCTACATTATTTCTAAAAGATGCTGTTGTTAATATAGGTTCAGTGTGATTTAACCCCTATCTATAAACACACTTTAAATTCACCAGAGAACACAAAGGAGATAAAGGTAGATTTAAACACAGGCAATCAGAAACATCAATTAAATAAAAATAGCCAAAATTTATGTGTGTGTATATATATTTCAGAGAGAGTCTCACTCTGTCACCCAGACTGAGTGCAGTGGCATGATCTCAGCTCACTGCAGATTCAAGCAATTCTCATGGCTTATCCACCTGAGTGGCTGGGATTACAGGCATGCACCAGCCACCACACCTGGCTAATTTTTGTAATTCTTAGTAGAGACAGGGTTTTGCCTTGTTGGCCAGGCTGGTCTCGAACTCCTGGCCTCAAGTGATGCACTTGCCTCAGCCTCCCAAAGTGCTGGGATTACAGGTGTGAGCCTCTGTGCTTGGCCATAATAGCAAAAATTTAAAGATTAGCAATAGACTGGGGTATTTGCAATAAATTTGCAAAGTGTTAATTTTTAAATTATATATAGAGTTAATACAATCAATAAGAAAACATTAGAAACCAATTATAGATGAGCAAGACACATTTATAGACAACCCACTAGAAAAAGGAGGAGGGAAATAAAATTAGGAAACAAAATATGTTGCAAAAAGCTCAATGAAATGCATAGTAAAGTAAGAACACACAATTTTCACACATTAAGTTGGCAAAAAATTAATAAATAACATTACAGCCTGGCATGGGTGCTATGTGATAGCACTCACACACAATGTTTAGTTGGATAAGCAATTTGGCAATATGAAAACCCTTAAAAATTATCAAAATCTAAGAAAGGTGGGGCAAGATGGCCAAATATAAGCCTCTACCAATTGTCCTCCCTTCAAGAACAACAAAATGAACGACTATCCACAAAAACACACCTTAATAAGAACCAGAGATCAAGTGGGCCATTGCAGTACCAGGTTTTAACTTTGTATCACTGAAAGAGGCACTGAAAAGCGTAGAAAAGACAGTCTTGAATTGCAGACGCTACCCCTCCCTCATCCTCCAGCAGCAGCTGGGGAAAGATTCTTTCAGATCTTATGCAAGACCACTAAGGTAGTACCTCTGAGTCTGCAAGAGCCATAGCATTCCTGGGTTTGGGGTGCCCCCTAATGCAGAAATGACTGCAGTGACCCCAAACTAAGATCACAACACCCAAGTCCCTTTGAATACCTGGAAAGCCTTCCCAAGAAGGATGAGGACAAACAAACCCACACTGTGAAGACTACAATAAATACCTAACTCTTCAATGCCCAGACACTGACACACATTCACAAGCATCAAGACCATCCAGGAAAACATGATGTCACCAAACAAACTAAATAAGGCATCACTCCCAGAGTGACCTTTCAAACAGAGAATTCAAAATAGTTCTTTTGAAGAAACTCAATGAAATTCAAGATAACATGAGAAGGAATTCAGAATCCTATCAGGTAAATTTAATGAAGCAATTGAAATAATTGAAAAGAATTAAGCCCAAAATTCTGGAACTGAAAAATACAATTGATATGCTGAAGAATGCATCTGAGTCCTTTAATAGCAGAATTGATCGAGTAGAAGAATTAGTGAGCTTGAAGACAGACTATTTGAAAATACACAGTGGAGGAGACAAAAGAAAAAATAATTTAAAAACATTAAGTACACCTACAAGATCTACAAAATAGCTTCAAAAGGCAAATCTGAGAGTTATTGGCCTTAAAGAGGAGGTTGAGAAAAGATAGGGGTAGAAAGTTTATTGAAAGGTATAATAACAGAGAACTTTCCAAACCTAGAGGAATAGATCAATATCCAAGTAGAAGAAGGTTATAAAACACCAAGCTGATTTAACCTAAATAAGACTACCTCAAGACATTTAATAATCAAACTTCCAAGGATCGAGGATAAAGAAAGGATACTGGCCAGGCACAGTGGCTCACACCTGTAATCCTAACACTTTGGGAGGCCGAGGCAGGTGGATTACCTGAGGTCAGGAGTTTGAGACTAACCTGACCAACACGGGGAAACCCTGTCTCTACTAAAAATACAAAATTAGCCAGGCATAGTGGTGGGTGCCTCTAATCCCAGCTACTTGGGAGACTGAGGCAGGAGAATCACTTAAACCTGGTTGGCAGAGGTTGCAGTGAGCTGAGGTTGCATCACTGCACTCCAACCTGGGCAACAGAATGAAACTATGTCTCAAAAAACAAAAATAAATTTTAAAAAAAGCCCTACAATGGAGCGCCAATATGTCTGGCAGCAGACTTTTCAGGGGAAACCTTACAGGCCAAGAGAGAGTGGCATGACATGTTTAAAGTGCTGAGGAAAAAAAAATTATCTTAGAATAGTATATTCAGTGAACCATATCCTTCAAACATAAAAGTATAGAAATAAAGACTTTTCCAGACAAACAAAAGCTGAAGGATTTTTCATCAACACCAGCCCTGTACAAGAAATGCCAAAGGGAGTTCTTCAGTCTGAAAGAAAAGGATGTTAATGAGCAATAAGAAATCATCTGAAGGTGCAGAACTCACTGGTAATAGTACATACACAGAAAAACACAGAATATTTTAACACAGTAATTGTGGTGTGTGAACTACTCATATCTTGAGTGAAAAGACTGAAAGAGGAAGCAATTAAAAATAATAGCTACCACAACATTTCAAGACATAAACAATACAATAAGATATAAATAGAAACAACAAAAAGTTAAAAAGTAGGGTAAGCAAGTTAAAATGTAGAGTTTTCATTAGTTTTCTCTTTGCTTGCTTGTTTATGCACTCAGTGTTAAGTTGTCATCAATTTAAGATAATGTGTTATAAGATATAATTTTCAAGCCTCATGGTAACCTTGAATCAAAAACATACAACAGATACATAAAAAATAAAAAGCAAGAAATTAAAACATAACCACCAGAGAAAATCACCTTCACTAAAAGGAACACAGGAAGGAAGGAAAGAAGGAAGAGAAGACCACCAAACAACCAGAAAACAAATAACAAAATGGCAGGAGTAAGTCCTTACTTATCAATTATAACATTGAATGTAAATGGACTAAACTCTCCAATCAAAAGACGTAAGAGTGGCTGAATGGCTTTAAAAAACCAGAGGCTACACTTCTCAGCCTGTAAGATGGCCACCCTGCACTCTGCAACCTTATAGAAGAAATAAACTCTCTTTTCTAAATGTATAAAAAATGTGTGATTTTATTTTAAGCTGACACATGTCAGAATTTCCTTCCTTTTTAAAACTGCTAATATTCCATTGTATGTATGTCACACATTTTTTCCATTTATCTCTCTATGGACTCTTGAGTTGCTTTCTTCTTTTGGCTA